CTATCGATCAATAATACAAATAATTTTTGTTTCTGTCCTAATTACAGAATTAAAGAAGATTTGCTTTAACCTGACCACAGGTCAGATCGGTTACTGGTCGTGCTGAGCCAGATTTTTTAGAGCAAAGGACAAGATTGAGAAAATATCACAAGTCAAAAAGAATGAATACAACATAAATAGTAAATGGTCTGTATTTATATAGAGCTTTTGTGGTCTTTTTTTATTATTGACATTATTGAATATTATTGTTAGGGCACCTCAGATATAATAATAAAAAATTAATTCAGTAGAGTGGCCTGGCTGCAGGTGAGTCTGTTGTAGTGTGAACTGTCATTAGTGGCTAAGCACAGAGTAAGGAACAGGCAGAGCGGTACAAACTGAATAATTAAACACAAATGACTTATATGTGCAAACAAACACTGTTCACGCCATTCAAACTCTCCTCTTACTCTACAGCCAAGACAGTTAACTCGTGTTTGACAACCAACATTTCAAAGGTACCTGAGTCTAATCAAACTGCTCCTGTCTTTCCACTTTGCTAACACTGCATGCATTTGATCACATATTCATTATAGTTTACTTACAATATGTTTTATACAGGATTTACCTTTGAGACCAGCTAAACTAGCACCTTATCAATAATAAAGAGCTTAAAAAGTATTAAGAAACACTTTCCAACTCCAAACTGTAGCCACACACATTCTGTGCATTTCGACTGATCACCTATTTAGTTTAAGAAACATTTGAAATGACCAAAGGCACCAGCACAGCACAACACAACACAACTGCTGCACCACCACACGCCTGTTACCTTTTTAAGCAGCATCCACAGACGTGCACACACGGCTCCTGAGAGACGCTCCCCTCTCCGGCACTGGGAGCTGTAATATGAGTGTTTGGCCATGTCCGCAACCAGATCCATCAGGTGTCTTGTGATGTTGCATTGAGCGGAGCGCTGGATCTCAGTCGGTTATGTATGTTGACACTGGAGTCAAACATCTTCACTCTCCTGTCTTCTTACTTAGTGGGATTTTGAGACTGTGAGACAGGAATCTGTTTTTTTCCAGTGTTGGAATGTGACTAAGTACATTTACTCAGGGACTGTACAAATACAAATAATGAAAGTGTTTTTCTTTGGCATGCACATAAATCCTCAAATAATACTTAGTATTATAGCATGTGACTACACAGGGGATCTGGATAATTTAAGATAATATAAGATAAGAACAACTTTACTGAAAGAAAAAACAGCACTGCTTTAATTTCTTTAACATGACATAAAACATTGCATCCATGTGGAAGCTTGTGTGGATCTCCTCCTTTACAAACTTGAAGCATTTGTTGTTATTTATAGATTTTTTCCACATTTTCTGATATTTAATAGACCAACAGGTGAGAGCTAACCTGGGATAGTTATGTTATATGCATGGTGGTTGGATTTGAAATAAAAAAAAAATCATATTTAATGATGAACACTGCTGAATAGAGCTCACCATGTTCTAATATTAAACTTTCAAATATACATTAACAACATGGAGACAGAGATCTCCTCCTCCTCCTCCTCCTCCTCCTCCTACCTGCAGCAGCAGCAGGTTAGCTCTTAGCTTGGAGGTTAGCTCTGTGGGTTAGCTACATAGATGCTAAGGAAATGGCATTGTTTAGAGAGGTGGAAACTGAAGCTGGAGCGACAAACCTCAGCAGCAGCATTAGCCTCATGTAAACATGTGATAACCCCCCGAGAGGCAGCCATGTGTGACTAGACTAGAAGGTGAGACAGAGATTAGTTTGTGTTTGTGGCTTTGACAGAGTCCATGGTTAGGTTCGCTAACGTAGGGCAGTGGACTTACTGTACTGTAGCTTAGCATGCTAACGCAGACTGCTCCTGTGGTTTACAAGACGATCGCTGTTTTATTCCGTTTAAATGTCTGAAGGGAAAGAAAGAGGAGACGTGACAGCAGCATCCCGCTGAGTTTCCACGTTGTTTACAGAGAGATCGTGGCTTAAACACCTGTTGTTGTTGTTGTTGTTGTGTGTTTGTGAAGCTGACAGGTGAAGCATGGATTTCCTCAGTCTGTTCGCTGTCTACGTGCTGCTGGTGCTCACGTGCATTGTGCTGTTGTGTAAATACTCAGGTCAACAGCAAACTCCGTTTCACTTATTCTTCAACTCAGTTGTGAAGGTAAGAAAGAAAAGCCTCTGGAACTATTTTAATACAACAGACTGACACTAGGTGGCGCTGTTGCACCGTTAATCTTCATGTACAACGCTCCACGATACACTGTTTTTTATACTTTGTTCAACTATGACACAAATAACAAACTTTAGGCATCACATTAGAATTAATTACACCAGTTGTTCAATGCAATGTTTTATAACCCCTCCTATATTTTGTATTTCTAGTTATTTTCTAAGTCTGCACATATTTCTCTCTGCTCCTGGCGGGAGCAACTGTAAAACATAAATATAATTATGAATTGTCCAAATGAAACATAATAAATAACAATAGACATTAGTAAAACTATATATAGGAACATAACAGATTGTTACAATGAATAGACTCCGAATGCATCTTAAATAAATTCTAACAGATTCTAAAAATAACATGACAACTTGGTTTTATGGATGTGGAATTAAGTTGTTGCTATTTTTCCTCACAGGTCGTCGCACCCATTACACCCAAATGGCTCCAGACGTTTTCACAGCGGACCTTACACAGGCTGTTTCATCAAAGGTTGGAAATTAAGAATGTTAGAAATCTGTTGTCGTAATCTATTTCATGAGGTCTTACCTGGATAATATAACCTTTGGATTTTAGTGTTGAACAATTTAGCTGCCTTAAGTCTGTGTGATCTCAACCACACTTGATTTATTTAATTCTATTTATAACACTATTTTACATACACACCCATTTATCAATGTATGGGCCCCATGTTGTTGATATATATGCTGTCATGTTCCACAATTTGTACGTCTCACAAAGGGGGTTTCATGGATTTCTGATTTTAATTCCCACTCTTTTCACTCAGAATATACTTTTAAGTTATTAAAGTGCTGTATCAATAACATGTATTATTTTCTTGTATCTACAGGAGCAACATGTTCATCTATCTGCATTTCCTCCTGGAGTTCGCTGTGTATGCAGAGTTCACCTATGAGGTGCTTGGCTTCTGCAGGGAGATGGACACCACTCTGACCAGCCTGTCAGTGCCTTACATCCTACTGGCCGTCAAGACCTTCTTCTTTTACCTCTGCATCAAGAGAGATCCAGGTCAATTTCAGAGAAGCTGCAGTAAATTCGTGTGGGGCAGGGGAAGTATACCTGACACACTTACCGGAACTCTACCCAACATGACAGAGGCCAAATTATGTCACTTTATGTGTAATATTTAAGAGAATTGAGACACAGACCACCTTTTATTAAGTAGTAGTAAAACCATACACTTGTTAATAAAGAATCTCAACTTCTCTTACAATCCGGAAAAGAAACCAAAATAACTCGGGTACGAGTGCTCTGATGTCATTCGGAGCCAGATTCTGGACAGTAGTGACTGGGGAGCCGCTGTATCGAGGTCCCACTGATACACACGCTCGACCAATCGTGAGTCAGTCTCAGCCGTCAATCATTATGTTTCAGCCTGTTTTTATAGCATCACATAACTCATTGAAACCGAACTTACTGGAAATATAAACGTTAGAAAACACATCAGTGTGATAAGAACGAACTCAAATGTTGTGTTGTTCGACTTTATATACAGTCTATGAGTAAAACAGGTAAAAATGCAGCATCCTCATGTAGGTCCATGTTTTGGGAAACACAAACGCAGCTGCTGTGTGCTTGAATTCATGTTTACCTGCTCCCTTAATTGATGCGTTGATAAGTTCTGGACAGTATTTTATTACACTGCACTATTTTTACTTAACTTTCTCATTACTCACCTTCTCCTTGATTCAACAGGCACAGTTACAAAGAAGAAACTCGCTGGTCAGCAGCACATCTATCCATATGACCAGAGATTATTCCACCCGGGGGTCTCCTGTCCGACCTGCCAGCTCATCAAACCGGCTCGCTCCAAACACTGCAGTGAGTAATCTGATACATGTTGTACCTGCTCTCCTTTTCCCTCAGGGTTCAGACATTTAATAAATACTCACCATGTTGTTGCTTTCATTACCTTTACCAAACATTTGACCTCAATGTTGACAAAACATGTCATGCTGGTATTGTCCATTGTATTCATTTAGGAAATCAACTTCCATGTGAAGGTCAAAAAGAAAAAGAAATGGTACTTTTTGCTGCCTGTAAGCACCTGTCTGTATTTCAGGGGTGTGCGACAGGTGTGTGCAGCGTTTCGACCACCACTGTGTCTGGGTGAACAACTGCATTGGTGCCCTGAACACACGGTACTTCCTGCTCTACCTCTTCAGCGTTTGTGCCATGGCAGGAGACATCGCTGTACTAACAGCAGACATGCTGCTTCATGCCGTTTTGCGCTCAGGACTTCTGAGGGCCAGTTATATAGATGAATACGGCGAGCAGCAGACAGCTGGGCCTCTGTTTGTCGTACAGGTGAGACCAAGCACTGAGAGAGTTTTCTATACATATGCTGCAGCCATGTTTTGTACCTCAGCCAAGGAGGTTATGTTTACGTTATGTTCACTGTTTTGTGTATGATCATTTGTTTGAATTGTTGCGTAACAATTCCAAAACCAATTAGCACCAAATGCGGTGGAAGGATTGGGCATTGGCCACGGAAGAACCTGTTCAATTTTAGTATTTTTCAAATAATTTTCCTTAACATGGACATTTGGTCAATTTCTTAAAGAATAATACAAAGATCTTTGATGTTGAAATCTGAGTTCTTACAATTTGGTGCAAACATAATGCTACATTAATGATTTTTTGATTATTTTTAATGGCTAACAACATTTTAGAACTGTTTTAGAACATTTGACACCTCAACAGGTAGCATATAGAAACAACATGACATAATCAACTCACCATTACTACATCAGGTTGACTTCAATTTAAATGAAATAATGTAGAAAATAAATAAAAATGTTAAGGCCTTCTGCTGTGCTACTTAAAATGTTCTTCTAGAAAATGAAAGATTTTTATTTGCAGTTACAGCCCGTGGCCACTTTCCCTAAAACTGTGAGACAGGACTGTTTGACCTTGGTGGACTAATGTGCTCTACTTAGCACCATTGTTGTAACCCAAGTGAAATAATGCTCTTTTCCTTTTTCCCCTCTGTCCCTCCAGCATCTGTTCCTGACCTTTCCCAGAATCGTCTTCATGTTGGGCTTTCTGGTCTTTGTCTTCTTCCTGCTGGCGAGTTACGCCCTGTTCCATTCCTATTTGGCTCTTGTCAACCAAACCTCCAACGAGTGGTACAAAAGTCGAGGTTACGTTTGTCAGCACTGTCACCCGACGTCAGCAGCGGACCACCTCTGTGGGCCAGCGCCAGATCACTCGAAAAGATACTTCTACAGCCGAGGGCTTCTCAGAAACCTGGGGGAGATTTTCTACCCACTGCAACCTGTTCGGAAAAAAGACAACTGAAAACAGACACTGCCCCCTGTGTTGTTATGCTGCATTTAATGTACGTCCTTTTGGCATTTACTGTCTGACTGTTGAAATAAAGTTTACATTTGTGGTATATATATGAGCTCTGGTGTCTATCTCCCATGAGATGTAGTGAATTGAAAATCTGTGCTCCAAACAAAAGTTATCCTTGTCATGTCAGATCAATGTCTTTTAATATAATGTTCCAGCTGCAGATTTAAAAAAGATTTATTTAATCCCTTTTTATTCCTATGGCTGCTTTCAATCAAAGCACAAATGTTTCTTGAGCTGGAGCAAATTACATTACATGCAATTAGTTCTCTGTGAATCGCATACTTTAGATACAGTTGTATTTTTTTTGTTGGGTGATTGCTGATTAGGGATTTGAAGGAAATTGATTATTTAATGAAAACATTTAATAAAACCTTTGTGTCAGCGGTTAACAAAACCAGCTGGAGAATTCATCTGGTGAAAACACACAAACAGCCCAGAGGCGAAATTGTTGCATTCACAATGTTTGTAAAAGAGAAACACTGCAAGCCTCAGTGCTCAGCTCAGATTTTATCTAGATCAGATTTGTTTTATGCAGCTGTTCACATTATCTTTTTAAATGTGGCCTGGATCAAACTCCAATGTGAACTGGTCATGGCCCTGATGTGAGGGACAAGAAGAAGACGTCAGTGTATGGATGCTGTGAGAGGAAGTAAACAAGGAGCAGAAGTCTGTAAACACATGGAGGCCACAGATGTGAGCGTCCATGGTTTCTCCTGATAGGCATTCAAACACAGACCGGTTACGATACAACCTCTGTTGTTGCCGTCTTCCAAGTCTCCCACCCGTCCCTTCGCCTGTGCAAAAATTACGAGGAATGTCGATGTAGGGTGACGTAAAAGTCGCATTGAATTCAGAAACTGGTCACACGGCTGCTTAGACTGAAGTCACATTTAAAAACAATCTGAATCTGATGTGAAAAGATCAGATTGCATGTGATTTGTGATGTTCACACTGACATTAAACTATCAGATCTGGGTCACCTGGGGGACAAAATCAGATTTGCATCATACCCCCCCCCCCTGAACTCCAGGCCCCTGAAGCTCATAGCTGCAGCCCTGTCACTGACTCCGGGGTCCTGTCCCTTTAAGCCGGTGCGGAAGTGAACACACATCTGATGTAAGTTGTGTGTAGAAGGTCAGAGCTTCAATCCGGTTCATGTCAATGCTTCGCTTTTCAAACCAAACCGGTTTCCTGGGTTTGTACTTTACCAGACGAGCTCTGCACACACGCTGCCGCTGAACCTGCTGACAGCCGCTCACTCCCGGGACTTCGCTCGGTAGTTGGACGAAGTTGACATTTTGAATTTCATTGATTCTGTCGCCTCTGTCCTTCCTCGCTCATGTCTGCGGCCAAATGCACTCGGTTGACCGGGGCGCTGGGGAAGCAGCTGCTGGAGTCGGTGGACAGCGTCCTGTTCGACTGCGACGGGGTGATCTGGCGCGGGGAGCAGGCCATCCCCGGAGCCTCCGAGGTCATCCACCTGCTGAAGGAGCGCGGCAAGAGGGTCTTCTTCGTCACCAACAACAGCAGCAAGACCCGGAGGATGTACGCCGACAAGATGTCCAAGCTGGGCTTCGACGTGCGGGAGGAGGAGGTGTTCGGTACCGCGTACTGCTCCGCCGTGTACCTGAAGACGGTGTGCGAGCTGCGGGGGAAAGTCTACCTGATCGGCAGCAGAGCCATGGAGCAGGAGCTGGAGGCCGTAGGGATCCAGCAGACCGGGGTGGGACCGGACCACGTCTCCGGGAAGCAGGCCGACTGGGCCAACGTGCCCCTGGACCCCGAGGTGAAGGCGGTGGTGGTCGGCTTCGATGAGCACTTCAGCTACATGAAGCTGAACAGAGCCCTGCAGTACCTGAGCCAGCAGGGCTGTCTGTTCGTGGGGACCAACAGGGACACCAGGCTGCCCCTGGAGGGAGGCAAGGCAGTCCCAGGTAGGATTCAAACTCACACACCACTGCTCTCCTGTCAAATATCAGAGATCCATTTAGTTCAGGGATCCCAATCCCAATCTATCTATCTATCTATCTATCTATCTATCTATCTATCTATCTATCTATCTATCTAAGATATAAGGTTTTGATTAACTTTATTTAAAGGTTCAGTGTGTAGAATGTTGTGACATCTAGTGGTGAACTTGCATGTTGCTCATAAAAACTCAAAATGTGTTTAGTTTGTTTAGTTTTGACAACTGTAAAAAACACTGTGGCCTCCGTATAGAGGACCGACTCCCGATGTAAATGTATTTAAATATAAAAGGCCCATTTTAGGGTAAAGAAAACAGCAATTCATACAATTTAGATTATTACACACTAGTGGAAACATCAATAGGGTTGTTTTATATAATGTATACACCTAAATCTTACACTCTGAACCTTTAAGGGATGGGAATCACAAGGTAACTCAGGATACATGGCCCACGATAATGATAACCATCCACTTGTCTGATTTTATGCTGTATTGGTGACCCGAAGGCAGTTTTCCACTCGTAGTGGACAATTAGGTTCTATTAATTAACTAACTCATTCATTCATTCCAATACTACGATGGAGCTCAACGCACTGCAAATTAAGAAAACACATGCAAATAGAAAAAAACAACAAATTATTTCATGGTAGACAAAACACATTATATAAAATGTGTCACAGAGCTCAGATTTTCTTTTGATGGCACAAAGAATGAAGTAAAATAGTGATCTGCAGTTACATGAAGCAAAAGGTCACATCACCTCCTGACACTCGCTCCCCCCCCTCAGGTACAGGCTGCCTGCTACAGGCCGTCGAGACTGCCGCCCAGCGCCAGGCCCAGACTGTCGGCAAACCCAACCACTTCATGTTCGACTGTGTGGACTCCCAGTTCAGCGTGGACCGCAACCGCTGCCTGATGGTGGGCGACCGCCTAGACACTGATATATTACTGGGCTCCAACTGCGGCCTGAAGACCCTCCTCACCCTCACAGGGGTCAGCACGGTGGCTGATGCTGAGGCCCACCAGAAGAGCGGTTGTGCAGAGAGGCAGGGGATGGTTCCGGATTATTACGTGGAGAGCATCGCAGATCTCCTCCCAGTTCTGCAGGGATGAGAGCGCCCCTGGTCTGTCGAGCAGAAGAGTAGCTACGTGATAGCCTAGCTGCTGCACATCTGAGGAAGTTGGGTAGCCTGTCACACGCCAGTGTTCATCGTCATTAAAGCTGCTTTCAGACTGGTGCTGAAGTCTGGATATTTTGCTGGGATTTTGCGCAGGATCTGTACGTGAGAATTCAAATGTCAGAGTCAGTTGCTCTGGATATTTTCTGGGAACTGAGTCCATTTGAGAATGCAGCAGGAAAATTTCCAGTGAGCAAGTTTGCATGTTGATGAAGATGAGAGTCAAGAGCCTTTACCGGCATGTTCTACGTTGACGCCACCTCGTCTGCTCCTGACATTTCCCTGTTGTTTTTTTCCTGCTGCGTTCTTCGTATGTAAACGGCAAAATCTTGATAAATATGTAGACTTAATATTCCGAACATCTCATGAGGTCATGTATAAAAGTGGCTTAATATTCAGAACATCGCTACAACAAACTCACAACTGTTGTGTGACAGAGGAGACAAAAAAATATTCTAGAGCGGCTACCCAGAGTTCGTCAGCACTTTTGTCGTTTACTAAACCATTACATTATATAAGTAAAGGATTTATAACATGAAAAAATTGACTTCCAGTATTGTTTCAATGCAATTTTTAAGTGTTAAATGGAAGAGTATGTAGTTTTGGTTCCTTTTTTGGGTCAAGGAGAGAGGTGGTGTACTTTGAAAGACCTGATCCTGTGTGTGGTGCAATCTCGCCTTAAGCAACATGTCAAAATCAAGAAGGGAAATAAGCAAACACACAGTTTCAATAGTTCGGTGAAACGTGTGCAAGCAGATAATACAACTAAAATGCACTGACCCTTTATGACTTGAGCTTTGTATATTTCAACACCTCAACAGATTGTGCTCATATTTGCTTTTACACTCATGGAATTTTGAAATTATATCCAGTCCTTTTTGTCTGTCAAGTTATTATTGATAGATTTAAGATCATCTGTCTTCCTTTTTACCGTCCACTCTCTGTTCCTCCTGCTTTCACTGAAATCCAGTCTGTAATAAAACATAATCTGTCCTTACTGCATCCATCTCTGCTTTCTGTTCAAAGTGAACATGGCTCACTTGCCTCTTAACCCTGCGCTTAAAGTCACCTTGGGGCTTGTCATCGGCTGGATTGCAGCAGCATATCAACTCTCACCTGATGAGAGAGACTTTCCCTTTGTCCTTTGTGCGGCCCGGGGCGGGCGGCCAACTCCTCATGTGAGTGCACGTTAAGAATAAGAGTGAATGAAAGGATGGATGATGCTAAAGAGGCACATTAAGTCATATCAGGCAGGAAAGACGAAGGGAAAAAATGAGGAAATTGCAGGAAGACAAAAGCGGATTCAGGGTTTTTTTGTGTGAAGGGACTGGAGAGGTAAAGGAGGAGGAGGTGGTGGTGGGGGAAGAAAAAGGTGGGAGGTCTGACAAAGAGGAGCTGACCAGGTGAACGGAGTCTCAGTCGGCGCTGGTCATGACCGCAGCTCCATGTCGATAGCCACAAGAAGGCAGTGAGGAGCCGTCAAGGGACACAGGATGGTGACGTGTTGGAAACGATCAGAAAACCGCCTGGAGGAAACTCAGTGCACGGTAAGAACACAGCTTCTAATTCAACTGAAGAAAACTGAATGATGGAGGGATTTGCATGTGAGGGGTCAAGGAACCCTTTGGGTTTTTGTTCTGCATGTGTTTCCAAACGCTTTCCCACAGTAGCAGCCACACAATAGGACAGAAATTGGCAGCAATACAGTAGTTTTCAAAAGAATATTGTCTAATTTTCCTGCCACAGTTGAATGTTTACGTCCTGTAAACTCAAGTTCTTTTTAAAGAGCTTGTCATTAGCTTTTATGTGTGCTAACGTCTCTTCAGGATGGGGCTCCGCCTGCAGCCCTTCAGTCCCATTTCCCACATAAGGCATTCTGGGTCAGCCTCTCAGCCTCTCTGCTCTTGCTCGTCATCACCCTCGGTGTGACGGGGCACCTCGGGCTGTCGCAACCCCACTCTCAGGTCTGACCCCTTCGCTGTAACTCCCACGTTGTCCCTCACTCGGCTGCCTACAATAATCCCAATGTGTTTTTCATGTAGCCTTCACAGATCGTGAGGGTCTCGGTTCAAGATCAGACTGGAGTGGTGATCAATCAGTCGGCGGTGGTGGACCAGCAGAATGACCTGGTGACCTTTTCGGTGACCTCGCCGGCAAATCAGACGTCCACCGTGCTGTTCGATGTCAAACACGTGCGTATAGGTGATTTACAGTATGACTCACATGCTATCTACATGAGAAGTAACGCTATTGGACAAACGTCTGTCTGTGTTGCAGGGTTTGATATGTTACAAACCAGTGGACCAGGACACCTGCTTCCTGCAAAAGATGGAGGAGTCTGATTATGACAACGTGCACTCCCTCCTTCATGAGCAAACACACCAGGTAACGGGCACGTGAGAACTCAACGGTTGAGGGTTACATAACGGGCCCCCCCACCTCGCCGCGTTCAGGATATGTGAGTCTAAATTAGGAAGAAGAGAAAGCTGGGGTTGCCCTTTCAGCTCTGCCAGCTTCCTCTAAAGTCTCTGCCTCACTAATGTGCGAACTGGCGTTTCTGACTCTGACTCACAGCTTTTTTATCCCCTGAGCCAGGATCTGCTGGGGTTCATATGTTTTGCATCACTTCCCACTCTGTACAAAAGAGAAAGGTGAGGCATACAGGGCTTGGAAGGGCCGGCACAGTCCCCCCCCCC